ATCACACTTCAGGGGGGATAGCCATGCCACAATCCCTTCTCCGTGATATCTTGGACACACATGCACACGCACCTGGCATGAGTTTAAGCCACCAGGTCTAGGACTTGAACCACGGTTGGCTACATGGGAGTTCAGCGACATAGCCATTACGCAAACTGCTCATCCCCCTGTTGTGTTTTATTAGGGTTGAATAGCAGTGTTCCATTGTAGTAGGTCTTTGGGAGAGTCATGGCGTATTTTTCTATGTAAAAATGTGTCATGACTTTCCCAATGACCCAATATATTTATGTGTGTGTGTGTGTGTGTGTGTGTGTGTGTTCCATTTTAAATCTATCTTACATTTTAAAAATCCATGAATCCACTGATGCATACTTAGGTGTTTCCATACTACCTTGGCTATTGTGAATAACGATGCAATGAATAAAAGAATGTAGATACCTCTTTGCTTTAATTACTTCAATTCCTTTGGGTAGATGCCCAGTACTGGGATTCCTGGATCATATGGTATTTTTAATGCACAGCAAACTAATATAGTTAATGACAATGTATTGTACATTTCAAAATAGATAAAAGAGGATTTTAAATGTTTTCACCACAGAGAAATGATAAGTATTTGAAGCAATGGATATGTTAATTACTTAGATTTGATCATTCTACAGAGTATACATGTACAGAAATATCATGATGTACCCCATAAATATACGCAATCACTATTTATTGATTAAAAATAAAACTAAAAAAAAAAAAAGAAAGATGTGTTAGGACATATAACACAGTACTGCATTAGCATTACATCTCTCTACTTGTTTTCATGTCTAGATTAGAATGCCATAAGAGGGATGTTGTTAAATGGAATGATACATTTCTGTGATATTTACAAAAATAATTCTGCTTTGATGAGTAGGGCCTGATATAGGAAAAACAAAAACAGATAAAGCTCCCCTTTTTGTTTCTTCCAATAAGGTTTGAGACTGTTCTCTGCTTTAGGATAAAATCCATGCATGTGACAAACCACCTAAATTTTTTATTCTTGTGTCTAAATAACTTGAAACCTCTCTCATTCTATACTCTGGTTATTGGTCACCTCTGAATCCTTTAAATGAGGTCGGGTAGGGGAGTAGTCATTGCTCAGTTTTGGAGGGCATGTTAGCTTTTCCAAGCTCCTGGGGCTTTGTGTTACAGATAAGATGTCCTAGAGAGCAGGCGCCCACAGGAAGTGTGAACTTCTTCCTTAGGTTTTGTGGCTGAACATTTCAACTGTATGTCTGCTTTCCAGATGAGGTTTCCGAAAGGCTTTTTGTCTGATTTCTGATTACCATGGGGCCGCTACTCAGATGAGATATCTTGAACTACTCTTCCCTGCTCACTAACATGAAATATGCAGGCATGAAAGCGTTAGGTCTTCAGGTTACAGTACAATCAGAAAACTCATTCTACCTGTGTGTTTGGCTTATATCTTTACCTCACTGCTATTTGTAATACATATGTATTCACCTATTCTTCAACTTATTTCAAAAATCATTTACAAGACTTTACTTAGAGAAAAGATTTTTATCTTTGTATTATAAAGAGTCTTCCTAAATCACAAGTTTCAGTGAGTCAAAGTTGTTCTAGTGAATCTTGTTTCTGTTGTGACGTGTAAGAGTTTACCAAACTGCACAGTACTCCATCTGACACCACCTGCAAGTGCTGGGGTGAGGGTGCTAACTCCAAAACACCCTTAGGTACAATAATTCACAAGAAGGATCCACAGAGTTCACTGAAGCTATTATATTCATAATTATGAATATGTATAATATATGGATATATATGATAGTCATGGTTTATTACAGAGAAAAGATACATACATATTAAAATCAGCCAAAATCAGAGATGCACAGGGTCAAGTCTTGAAGGGTTCCAAAAGCAAGTATGTCCATTATCTTCAGGCTGTGTTACCTTCCTGGGACTGATGACTGATAACACACATGTGATATTGCCATCTAGGAAAGATCACCTGAGCTTTGGTAGCCAGAACTTTTATTAGGGCTCCACTGATTAACAGCTCAGGTTGTTGATCTCAGTGTCCAGGCTGATGAACGTCATGGGATCCAAAGTTTCCCCTCTTAATCACATAGTTGGTCTCCCTGGAATAGTTGGCTCCACCTTAACACTGTCAAGAATGGTTGGCTCAAACCAAAACAAAAACACTCCTATTAGGTGTGAATAAAAATTACCTCCCAGAAGATTAAGGAAAAGACTCTCTTTGGGCAAGGCCAAGTTCTTTTTACTTAAATATTTACCTGTTTTTACTAACCATGCTAATGTCAGGCTGTTCCTTATTATGATGCTTTCCTAAGGGAATCATTTTCACTGAAAACTATTGGGAGGGCTAGTAGTTAAGGAAATACAGATTCCCCCATGGCTAACTGTGTGGTTCAAATTCTAGGCCCAGTGACTTGAAAAACATGGGAGGCAAGTGTGTGTGTGTGTGTGTGAGTGTGTGTGTGTGTGTGTGCCTCAAATTCTGACAGGATGGAGAAATGGAGGATTAGAGATCTTGGCATGACCACCCCATGGGAGAGTTCTCTCTGTGTGTGTGTCTTTGTTTCTCTCTGGTGAATATACATGCCCTCTGGCAAAAATAAACAAATAAAAAACAAGAACAAAAAATGTTGGAAAAGTTTTAAGTGAGAAACAAATTAAATCTGAGAATAAATAGCCCTAATAATAAAATTAAGACTATCAAAACCAGGAAGTAACCGCCAAATAATAGTATTTAATCTGATGCGTGAGAGAGAGACAGAGAAAGGGAGAGGGAGAAAGCAAGCCACCAGGTCCAGGCCTTGAACCCGCAGTCAGCCATGTGGGAACTCAGCGTCCTTAGCCACCACGCCACCTGCCGACCCTGTTTTTGTTTGTTTGTTTGTTTGTTTGTTTTTAATTGTAGCCTATGTCAAGCCTCACAGGCCCATATTAGAGTCCTTAAAGAAAAACAAATTCTTATAAAAATCAACAATTTATGAGCTAAGATCACTTCTGATTCCTGTAAGTATAAAAAATAAGTGGACATATGGTATAAATTCTCACTCATTTCTACTTTGTTTTGTAAGTGAGATGTGTAAAGCTCTTCAAGACCTTCCCTACCATACATGAAAACAGAGTAAAGAGTTCTGGATTTACACCTTTTTTTCTTTCCCAACATGAAATTTTATGAATTACATACAGTGACAGTAGCAGGTCAAGAACTAGGTTTGAATACATTAATGAATGGTTTCTACTGCATCAACAAATTTGATATATATGGAGGGATTATTGTTTGAGTTCACCTTTTTTCTTCTTTAGGAAATAATTCTAGATGCAGACCCTACCTCTGTTGCAGTTAAGAGTAGGCTTATATCTCTGTTACAGAAGCTGCTAGATTATCTTGTCCACACATTAAAAAAAAATAAGTTCCATAAAGAATCTCTGTCCTATTCGAAATTTTTTCTTACTGATTTTAATGCAGGTGAGACACTGGGTTGGAATAGAAAACTATCCTATAGATAGATACATGTAGCTTCTGCTACTTTCTTTTTTTTGGGGGGGAGGGGATTTTTGTTATGGGAGTATGCTTTTGCCAGAAAGACAGAGAGAGATGGAGAGAGAAAAAGTGAGAAATCACCCCCTGGGGGGATGGCCATGTGGCAATCCCTTCTCCTCCATTCTCCTCTTGGGATCTTGGGCACACACATGCACGCATAAGCACCCAGTGTGAGTTTCAAGCCACCAGGTTCAGGCTTGAACTGCAGTTGATCATACAGAAGTCCAGTACCTTAACCACCACACTATTTGCTGGTCCCAGCCTCTGCTACTTCCTAAAAGTCAATCAGTACCATTTGTGCCTTGAGCAGAACCAACTGCTCAAGAACGCAGAGGGCAGAGAGGACATGAGAAAGTTACAATGGAAGTAGTATGAGTTTAAAAGAACAGCGTTCACATGTTTTTTCCACTTAGGATGTGTTAAAGATTATAGATTGCAGCTGAGGGAGAATTAAGGTCTCTATTTACACATTTCCCTATGTCTGTGAAGCTGAAAAAGAAATGAATTCAGCTGCAAAAGTATACAGTTATTTCATTGTCTTAGTGTAGGGGAAAGTGTCCTTTAATGTCATCAGCTAGAGAAGGATGGATATTCAGGAATCAAAAAGCACCAGAAATGTTAAAGTTAAAAGGAAAAAAGAAAGAAAGGCACAAAAGGTGATGGGATTAGAAAAGGTGATGATGCACGCAGAGGGTGCATGGCATTTGGGGGAAGAAGCATGAAGGGAGAGAAGCCACCTAACTCAGGGGGTCTCAGCTGGGTGGGAAAAGATTAGCATTTCCTAGTGTTGCAGTGTAGCATGATAAAGAATACTAAGTACTATAATCTTATATTTTCAAATGCAGAAAAATACCTTTCATGTTTGTAACACAAACCTGGGTGAGCTCGGCTCTACAAAATCTTGGCTGATGGAGATAAGCCAGTTCTAAGCCAGCAGCCAAGATGCTCAACAGGAAAGGGAGTGGGCAGTTGGACGAGTGACGTCCAAAACAAATACATGTCCAGGAGGCGCAAGAATAGTGGAGAAGACAGAGGTTTTGTTTATGCTCATCAAAAAAGGGTTTTTGATGTTCAAAGACTGAAAAATCACCATACTAAGTCATCAGAAAAGAAACTCTTTCAGAAAGAACTCTATTCATTAAGAGCCATCAAGTTACCCTTCCTAGGGAAGTACACTTAACTTTTTGGAATACCATGTCTGGTACCTACCTGATCCTTGAGTTGGGTACTTGATTCTATTTTTGCATTTGTGTGGCATCTCTTTTTTGAGAAGCTCAAAGCACCTCATAGGTGCTTACTTTTTTAACCCTTCAAAAAAAAACCTGCTAAAATAGACTAGAAACCAGTAATACTTCCTAACAGTTTTACCTGCACTTTTTCAAATCAACATGTTTGGCTCTTTTTTTTCCTGTCACTGGTTGTGGTCCATCTTGACAAGTCTCATAGATTCATGAGGAAAAATCTACCATCATATAAAAACCCCACAAAAATATCAAGACATTCAAAACATCTCTGCTTCCACAGCCCTCATTAAAAAATTGCACCTGTCAATAGGACGTGGATAAATTAGGTGACGGTAAGTGAAAACTGCTAAGGTAAATCAGTGATTTTTTTTTTTTTTTAGAGAACTAAGCTCCATGTAGGTGAAACACCATAATTCTGTCGCTGTCTCATCAGCTCGTATCCAATCAGGTCCTGGCAGGCCATATGTGTATTTATAAATATATCTGCTAATGTAAAGGTCGCGCTGCTCACTGCTCAGGGAAATCAGGCACATTTGGAACCATCCCTAGAAGATTTTGGTTTCTTAAAAAAAATATTTTGACAATTTGTGACAAATGCAATCCTGCCCCCATATGTTTTGTACTATTTAAAGGAAAATGACACCCAGTTGCCTTCACATCAACACGTGATTTTTTTTTCTTTTAATAATAAAGTTACAAGATGGGAGGGGAGGAAGGTTACCTTCCATACATATTTAAAAGATGTAAATATCTTTTTTAACTTTGTATTTCCACACTTGCCCAAGAGGATAAAGCTTCCAAAATCTGCGTTACTGCTCATGACATAGGAAATCACAGAAACTTTTCTTCCAACTTGGAGGAGGAAGTGGGAAAATAACTGGAAGAATATGAAAAGTGATGGCAGATTCTTGCCATGAAATTCAGCCTTCTGCCCCCTTGCCTAATTTTTTTTTTTTCTGTACAACTCCTCCCCCATTTTCTAAGCATAGAGAGGGAGAGAGAAAAAAAAAGAATTCTGTTTAAATGAACCCCTCTGAAAACTTCTGCAGAAATCTCTTATGCATTAATTTAGAATATCTCAAACAGGGGTGAGAATGACATAAGACTGCAAACAGCCAAAAGTCAAGAATACACTCCAAGTACGACATACCCATTCACTTGTATTTCATACCATTCTTTAGAATCAAGAAGGATCTCTGTGGCATGGAAGACAGAAACTTTACAAAAAAAAGGAAAGAAAGAAAAAGAAAAACCACAATCAGATGACATCTTTGGTGGGGGGGGCGGGGAAAGCTTCTGACAAGACAAAAAGGTATGAAAATATTTTGAGAGAACTTGTTTAATCGCCCAGCAATGAATGCCTTCCGTTCAATTTAGTCCTTGAATCAGAATAACCATGACAGATGGCTCCTGCTAGTTTAAAAAAAAAAAAAATTAGCTAAATTTTCAGATAACACAGCCTTCTGTCATGTTCTCCTACTCCGAGGTTTATGTGGTTTGTTTAGCAGACTGAACCACAGGCTGCTAGTTGCTGACCAGTTTTCACTTAGTAGCTGCAAAATTCACACCACTTGATACTGTACGCTCAGAACTCCAAGGGGAGAGAAATACTGTCAGTTCAGAAGACAAAAGACTGTGATAGGTCACCCCTCCCCCACCCCAATATCGGATCCACATTTCACACACCAGGCCATGTTTAAAATGTAAGGACCGAGAAGAGAAGTCGTGGCTCTATCAGCCTTACCATCTCTTTGAGGCAGAATAAACTCATATCTGATGCTATAATTACAACCCTAATGGACACACTTAATTTATTTTGGAGAAGAGAAGTTGATATCCACTACTGCTATTATTAAAAAGACTAATGAGAGCTGCTTGGTAAGAAAAGAAAAGATTTATTGAATTCCTTTTGGCACCCGGCACAGCTTAGCAATTTTGAGAGCCCATCAAAATAGCAGATATATACCCTGCTCAGATGTGCTGTACAGGATGTGAGCTGGGTTTCAGATTTTCAATAACAAATCTGTCACTCCGATTTTAATTAGACGGCTTAAAGCAGCTACATCAATAATGGCAGAATGACGGCTTAGTTCAAAGATCATAGAGATGTTACTCTACTTTAATAGTTCTTTTATACAAGTACATATTTCAGAAGTTTGCGAGGCATTCATCCTGACTACCCCTTTCACCAAGGAAGAGAAAAAAAATATTCCTAATTGAATTAAACCACGAACACTAGCAGTCATCACCATTTCTACACCAGGCTGTTGCACCCAGCTGGTTAGGAGGTCTAATTTCACACCACACAGCAATGAAATGCTGCTAACTTTTATTTGTGAGCATAAAACAGTAATATTTCATGACAGCAAAAGGCCAGTTGACGCCGCTGGGTATAACCTCCACTGGTCTAAACCTGAGAGACAAATGGCAGTCTCAGTTGAGTACTGACACATGGTCTTTCTCATGGACCTCCGGAGAATGGAGGGAGGACTCCTCCACCAGGAGGTACGGCAAAGGACTTTGAGAAGTTCACATACCACTGTAAACACTCCCCAGACAGGTACAGAAAGGACAGTGGACAGTAACCTCAGTGAAAAACTATGGCCAAAGGGCTAACCTTATTTACTTATTTATTTTTAACAGGGTGGAGGATATATAATGAATTATTGTATTTCTTTCCACTGATCTTATTTTTTTTTCCAAATTTGTTTTTAATTGACAATTGTGTGTGTGTGTATTCCTTTTTTTTTTCTTAAGGTTTTGCCCTAGGGTGTCTGCATTTGCTGGAGAGAAACAGAGATAGAGGGAAAGTGAGAAATCACTCCCCACCATCACCCAGGAGGGATGGCCACACTCACAGTCCCTTCTCTTTCATCCTCCTCTCCAGAGTTTGGGCATATGTACACACATACCCAGTATGATTTTCAAGCTGTCAGGTCCCAGGTCCCGGATTCAAATTGTGGTTGGCTATGTAGGAGTCCAGTGCCTTAACAACCACACCACCTACTGGCCCCTATGTTTATTCTTAATAGAGCAAGTGCATGAGAGAGAGAGAGTAAGAGAGAGAGAGACCCTCTAGAGGGCTTGGTCATGCTGTGATCCCCTCCTCTAGTCCTCCAGTCAGTCAGGATCCTGAGCACATGCTCATGTACCCAGAATGTTTTCAAACTGACTGGGCCTGGACTTGGGCCATGGTCAGCATGTGTTTTCCAGCTCTTACATTGGTTCACCACAGTCTGCAGCACAGAGGCTGGACCATAACTGTGTATCTTTATGTGGCACCATCTGGTATTTTGATATATTAAATGTATACAATGTAGAAGTTACATTGTAATTCTATAATTAATTGTAATGAATTTAATTGTAATTCTACAATTAAAGACTCGATTAAGCTAATTAACATATCCATCACTTCCATTGATTCTTACTACATGAATAAAAACTTATTGATTGCACATTTATATTAACACTATTAATATATTAATATAATATAATATGTTATTCACATATTGATATATCTATCTTCCATACTTTGATGAAAATACAGATTGAGCATCCCAAATCCCAAATCCTGATTTCCAAATTGCTCCAAAATCCCAAACTATTTCAGTACCAATATGATACTGCAGTGGGAAATTCTACACCTGACTTCATGTGACAGGTTGCAGTCAAAATGCTACATACAAAAATATTGTATAAAATTACCTTTAGGTCATTTGTATAAGGTATATAAAGGGTTTTCAAAAAGTTCGCGGAAGGGACTAATTCCATGGCTCAGAGGAAATGCAGTGCTCAAGAGAAGTGGGATCCCACAAGGTGAATACACTTTGAGTTCCTAGCCTGCCTAGCCTGAAACAGACCACGCATTTCGTGCAAGTGTCCCAAACCCAGTGGGCCAGAAAACTGAAGGAAGGGGACCACAGAGTGACCAGACACTATGGAGGGTGCTCCTATCTCTCATTCCTACTTTGATTCCATTTTCCCATGAACTTTTTGACGTCCTCTTGTATATAAATATAAGTGAATTTCATGTTCATACCTGGGTCTCATCCTCAAGATACCTCATTATGTATATGCACATATTTCAAAATCCAAAAATATACAAAATCTGAAACACTTCTGGCTCCAAGTATTTTGGATAAAGGATACTCAACCTATATGTGTTTATATGTATAATTTTCTTTAAAAATGAAATCATGCTATATATATATTGTAAGTTTTTTTTCTTTTTTGCATACAATAGTCTATGGATATTCTCTTTCCATGTCAAGTTGATAAATATATCTCAAAGTCATTTTAACATTTTAACAATTATATAATATTCTGCTATAAAGTGAATTCATAAATAAATCAATCCCTTCTTAGACATTTAGATAGTCTCAATTTTTTTGCAATGATAAGTAAGTGTACGTGTATATATATACACATATATAAAAATACTATTATAGAGTACATGAACATGTACTTACATATATGTGAAACTTTATAATAATTTGATTATTATGTTCAATACATGATTTTAGGATAAAAAGAGCTGAAACTTCTAGGTTGAAGTATCTGCATTTCAAAGAAAAGATTTTGTATATCTAAAACCATTATTCTAATGCTTAGAGATAGAATGTGTTTTTTAAAAGCATTTTCCTTGGATCGGATCCTGACAAAATCTAAACCTGCTACTATCACTTTCACACCATCACATAAATCTGTAATTTCATCTCCACTTCCTCTGCAGTGTTGTTCTCTCTCCAGAACGTGAGCACTGTCTAGAGCCAGTCCCCGCAAGTCACCTCGTTCTGGTCAATCCTCAGTGATGCAGCCACAGATATTATTGACTCCCTGTAGACCTGATTAAAGTCCTTACGTCTTAGTACTGACTTCTTGCAGTATCATTTATTTAAAATAGAGACCAAGACCATTTCATTGCTCTACACCAGCGCTGCCAAATTTTAGACTATGTGTCTTTCGGACAGTGACTTATCCTCTGTCTTTCCCCTATACTAGGCTATCAGAGTAAGATATGGGTCATGACTTATGTACCACTCATTGAAAAACATAATTATTTGGTGCCAATTTAAAAAGATAAATAGTGAGTTCCAAATGATGTTTCTGCAGGAACTAGGGTTAAAGAACATAAATAAAATCCCTGCTTTCACATGGCATATATTCCAGTGGGGGAGGGGCAGCCTGTAGCTAAATATAGAATACAGCTAAATATAGAATATGGCAGTAACAGTAATGACTTTGGAGGCAGGGA